CTAGTATGTCTTTTGTATAAATTAATACTTTGATTTCAATTTGTATAAACTACTTTTTATTTTTCACAGGAGTAGTAGATAAATGAATCTGGGGCTCAACCATCTGCGGACAAGAGAGACAAATATATTCAAAACATCAAACATAAGCGATTTCTCATCCTCAAAAAGAACATAACTACAGTCGTTATCAAGGACATAATTATAGTTTGGAAAAACTAATGTTGAATTTAAATATAAAATGTGCCTTTTTAATTTTTTAAATTTTTAATAAAGCATTGTTTTGGAGCTACACCTGCATTAAAAACTCATTTCTTAGGCTGAAACTGAGCCGACATGGGTTTGCTTTTATTGTTTGTGTTGGCAAACATTTAAACAGCAAATTGAAATATTACGAAGCGTTTAGCAAATTCAACGTAAAATTCGACCTTTAATTCCTAAACGTACGTGTACATGGAAATGGAAGTAATTGTTTGAATTTTAACAAAGTTTATTTAACACTGTCTGGGTGAATTTTTATTTTCAAATGATGTTGCAAAAGTGTCTACATTTCTTAACACTTCAGCACCCAGTTAAATCATAGGAACTCTTGACAACTCAAATTCGGCTAACGCCAATACGTAGAAAATACGTGGGAAGAAATGATTATTTTCAAGTGGCTCTGCAAGTCCCGATGAAAAAAATTCGAGAATAAATCCACCCCAGCTCTGTCAAAAAAGAAATCTCCCCAGGATTGATTGACAGCTCTATTGTTCCATCAGACACAATGTATATTTTTAAGAATTTGGGTCTGGGTCACCTATATTTGAAGACATGGCTTTCTTTGGCCCAAAGACTTGCTGGGCACATTTTTTTGTCATAAGTCCTAGGCCAATTAACAAGTTGATTCTTTGCAAGCAAAGCAGCCATTGGTAGGATTGTTATACTTGTGCAATCCCAGAGTTATGCCACTGTTGCCAAGAAACAGTATTGCCATGGATAATCCTGGGCCTTCTGCCCGGGCATGCTGTCTTGTACACTGCATGGCCGCTAGCCAGGCTTTTTTTTTAGCGCTGAGCCCATAACTGCTTTCAGTTGTACAGCCCTGGATAAATTGAATAATGTTCCTTCACCTCCTTTTCTTGACATTTATTGAAACTAACATACAAGTACACATTTTCCAGGCCTCAAATTTATAAACAACCTCTTCCACAAAAATCTCATCTTTTCTGAAAAAAGAAAAGACGTTACCACTAAAAATAATCAATTAGTCTCATTGTCTCCTGCGGAACACATTACATTATCTCGGCTGTCTGTCTTCAGAAATTGTTGAGGATTTTTTGTTAAAAAGGCTGTTTATGCTGTCTGATAGAGGCACTGAAAAAATAATTCCATCGGCCGGGCAATAATCCTACCCCAATTCTAATCTGACGTCACAAGTGTTAACTTTTTTTAAGTTGGCTAGGCAGGCCTCATATGCCGAATAAAATCCCTCCAGCTAAGACCCAGCGGGTGTTTGTATTCCATAACTTTATACAGTGTGTCTTTTTGTTAATAAGAGGCCCCGATGGTTTTGCGCTTAACTGACAGTGTTTTGCTTCTGAGAATTAAAAGGAATGTGTTACCTAGAATATTGGCCAAACCTTTCACTATCCCGCTGTTCGGTGTTTGCCAAGAATTTTATTTCACACCAATGGACAAGTGTCAGTAAGCGTATACCATTCTCCGGATACGTTTTGTGCCACTATTGCGCCCTAGACGTCTTGCTGTGTGCACAGACCGTGACGGGCCTTTTGTTGGGAAATGGGAATGGGAGGGCCTGTTCCCTTGCGTGCCATCTGAGGTGGCTCGAACAAAAGAATGCATTCCTGGCATTCGCACGCGTGCAAACGGTAAACTTATTTTTGATGCCGTCCCTAAATCGATCGCGAAAAGGTCCTATATTTCTGAGCAGTAGTGTAATTGACATGTACATGCATGTCCATTATTCTGTATGCTTGATCTCATGGGTCTTTGTATTTGATTTGGCTCTAATTTTTACACAAAATATTTTCAACATGTGCAGCAAATATGCCTGGCTCCACTCTGAATCTACAGAGATGCAGGTACATATAGGTAGATCATGTGTAGGTCAATGACAAACTCTCAAATAGTTTTGTACACTCTGAAATGATGCGGCCACAGCTTCCATTTTCACCGAACCCCGATTTGTGCATTTAGGCGCGATTGTTCTGTCAGGTACATGGTTGTACATTCCCGGCTAGATTCTGTCTCGCCGTCAAAAGCAGGCAGCAATTCCCCTTGTCAGCACCTCAGATGTAACACCTGCTTGTACATAGTTAACAGCCTGTCGGTCGTCAGCCCTCACGGTAGCTACAGAATAGTCGGGGATCATACATTCATTACAAGTAATGTGGTTTATCGCATTATATGTTATCGCTGTGGTAAACTGTACATTGGAGAGACCAAGCGTCGCCTTGGTGACCCCTTCACGGAACACTTGCGCAGTGTGTGCCAACAAACACCTGGTCTCACTGTTGCACAGCACTTTTACATGCCGCAACATAACATGTACTCGAGGTGACATAAGCGTCTGCATCCTGCAGAAAGTGCCATCTGATGCACAGAGTAAGGAACTGGAGCAGCCTGTCATTTTTGAACTTCTGTGTTCATTCAGAACCGAATCTTCTTGCCCTGAAGAAGTACATGTACTCCGTTACCAAAAGCTTGGCAATCATATATTCCAGAGCACTGATTTTATATTACATGCATTCTTGTTGTTATTCTGATCAAGATGCTACGCAGCCCTTCCACATCGCTCTGAAAAAAGGTGGGGGAAAAATTCATGAAATGTGTTGAAATGTGTTATCCCGTGGTAAGTCATTACTCTTACATGTGTTCATGTACATGTACTTACATGTCGTCTAAATACCTTCATGCAGAATACAATGGAGGCCCTGTTAACCACTTGACAGTGGATGACCTGTAAACACACACAATTTTCCTTATTTATTCCATGGAAGATGTTTACACTCATTTAAGAATTCTTTTTTCTTATCCTTGGTTGACTATTAACGCGTTGTGCTTGGTTGGGTCAAAGTGCAGAGGACAATCCTAATCCTGGACCCACCTCCCAACCAAAAATAAAATGGTAATGCCTCTTTTGAGTAATTGAATTGAATTTGGGATGCACACCGTACACAAAAAAGGTAAAGGGAATAAAGTCCTCCTTTGTTTGGGTAAGTGGATTTGCTAGGGAGCGAAACTACACTTACAAAAGAGATAAGGTTAGAAAATCCCAACTAGCAACTCCTTTGTATCGAACCAACTGGCAAAAACCACATATTGCCATGGATGGTGCCTATATGGGTCATTCCACGAAGTTCGAGCACAGTTTATGACGGCGTCCCTTGTTACATCAGTGAAAATAAACATCTTTTTTCCCTGCATGGGGATTCTAAATTGACACTAAATCTTGCTAGGTTCTTGTAGTTGTGTGCTTCATCTTTGTAGAATAATATGACTTTATCTGTTGTATTGTGAAATAAAGGGCAATAAAAGTTACTGATGTAACAAGGGATGCAGTCACAAACTGTGCCCGGTACATGTATGCTAAGGACCTGAACCAGCTGAATTTTTACCAGCTGGTTGAAAAAAACTGGGAAAAGAATGAAAATACTGATGCCTAAACTCAAGAGCTGTGCCTCCCTGCATATGTTATGGGCATCATAAATAAATTGCAAGGTTAAAGAATTTGTTGAAAAAAATCCCCTCCCCAGCAGCATTTTCAGGTAAGAAAATCCGACATCAACTGGTTAAGTATGCCTCCTAAGCAATGCACTCTCAATATCTTCTATCTGCTTGAATATTTTCCCATAAACTGTCCCACTCTGTGTATGTGCAGCTTTGTACACACTTGCTGGTAGTCATCCTAAGCTGAGAGGACAGTGGAACATTACATTTTATATTATGTTATAAAATGGGTCCTTGCGTTTCATACATGTAGCTAAGTAAAAGCAAATCAATGTGCAATGTTATCTTGAAATGTCAACAATGTAAACTTCCCTGGAAATGAACGACATGCACCAGTACATGTACCCTACCTGTACTTCATGGATGTGTGGCACATCTAAACATAGACTGGGTACCGTAATACAACAATGTAAACACTAAATATGATACCCTGAGAACCAAGTGATTTTTACACCTCCCATTATCCATTCTCTCTTTTGAATTTTTCCTTTACTGATGACTTAGGGAAAAAATTGGTGATTTCTCATGGTTTCGCACTCTATTCCTGCCACCACTACCTTTTGAAAATAAAACTGATTTATAAATGTAATTATCCTAAAGTTAAGATGCTTCTTACTTGCCCTACACTTCATTTTTTCCCCTTTGGATGTTCTTTACAGGAAAGCGGTCAGATAGTTGCTGTAAAGAAGTTCAAAGACAGTGAAGGTAAGAACTGCAATTGAAACTACTGTAGCTTTTTTGAGGCCCTACAATGTACATGTGTAAAAGGGGGAAATTTAATATATACCGGTGTACTAGGACCATGCCAAGTATGTGTACCAAGGCACCCGCATCCCAACTACTTCTTACAGGTACATGTACCCAGTTCCATTTTATCATTTTTATTACCTGAAACTGACCCCTGTAAATGTCATCATAACATACCAGAAAGGCAAGTGCCGTCTTCTTTTGCTTACTTGCAGATAGATTGTTGAAAAATCTGAGTAAGATATATTTTGAGGCCATTTACTGACAATATCCCAATGTCTAGATCATAAAGTAAAAGAACCAGTCATGATACGCTGCACATGCCTAGGGTAGGCCTAGGGTGGTTGGCTCTGCCTAGTGCACTTCGGTCTTTTCCCTCTAGGATGACTTGTATGATACTGTGAACAAACCAATTCATAACCACAAGAAGTCCTGGCTTTCAAGCTAGCCTGATCACTACCAGGGATGCAATTGTAGTCCACGTGCAGGCAGTCCAATCATTGACTCTGTGGCAGCCACAGAAAGAAAGGTCATTTTGACTGCACATAGGAAAACCCACGTGAAAGAAACCCTAACAACCTGCTGTGCATAGTGCTGTAGAGACAATAGACCAAATGATGCAAAAGTTTTGGCACACAAAGGTGTATAACGTTGAAGTGGTTTATTGCTTTGTCTATCAGTAGAAAGAAACTTTTAAGGAACAACAACATAAAATCTTAGAAAAACCCATGAGCAACCCTATGTGAGCCTACTCTACATCATTAGAATTTACAAAGAGAAGGAAAATTTACAAAGAGAAGGAAAATAAACTTGTACAAAACAAACGTTGATTTCGATGTCATGTGTGTCTACACATGACATCGAAATCAACGTTACCTATAATTATCAAGTCCATCATGCAAGTCCATCAACTGGGAACATTTCTTAGCTTGAAGTTCGGATAAGGTTATCTTTTTTTAGCTACTCCCCTGAGTTTCAAGTTGTTGAGAATTTGCTTTATTTTCTTTCGAACTTGAAAATTCAGGAAAAATGAACTTACGAATGCAGCGCTTGATCCAGCAGCTTGGCACTATAGTTGGTGGGATGGGTGGAGATTACTCAACTACTGTGTTTCTGTTATTTTGATAATTATAGGTACCCATGTACATATGTACCTACCCATTATGGGAATTGGGTACCTGGTTCTCATACTACATGTACCATTATAAAATGCACACCATTCAAAGAAAAATGTTAAATTTTCAAAATCTATCACATCCAAAATTATGTCAATTCAGTTTTCATCTTTTAAACGTCTCTGTATGTGCATGTCAAGTTTAAACCCAATCATGTGTATAAGTTCTTCTTTAGATATAAGTCTTTGAATAGCCGGGGTGACTTTTACAAAATATTAGATTACAGTCAGTGACATCATGATGACATCACTTCAATTTTCACTTAATACACATACATGTAGAAATGTGCATGCCACGTTTAACCACTGCGTGCCGGGGGCTCCGGTAACGGAGCCATAGGCCTTATATTTGGGGCTGAGGACTCCGAGATCGGAACTTTACTATAAAAAAAAAAGTTGCTGGGCGTTTCTTAAAAAAGTTTGGGGCTGTCAGTTAAAAAGTTTAGACCATCATCGGCCGGTGAATTGTGACTTTTTTATAGCCGGGGTGACCAAACTTCTTTTATAGCCGGGGTGACCGAACTTATTTTATAGCCAGGGTGACCGAACTTATCAAAGCCTTGAATAAAAGTACGAGCTCCTGAGAGCTGCTGGGCCCTGCCAATCAATCCCTGTATTCTTTCAGCGCAGAGCGCTGCAATTAGCGGAGGTAATCCGTGTATTGTTTAGCAGAGCGCATTTGTTCGCGCGGCCGGGCGCTCGCAGGGGATTATCGCTGCACTGCACCGAAGACAAAGCGCGGGCTCATTATGCACCTGTGCCCCATGAATGACCCGGCCCGGGCGCTGCTGGCCCTTGCCACGTTGACTGACAGGGCACAGCCCTCACTGCTTGAGAATAAAAACGCCGTGCAGTGTTCGCGTGCATTCATATTGGGTATCGTGTTTTTTAGAGTACAGACAACATGGCTGAAGTTATATCCGGAGAGTCCAGTTCTTCCAGCGAAAGCGAGTTTTATCTGAGTTCAGACGAAGTTTCTTCGTCTTTTTCATCACCGCCGTCACCTGCTCAAGTACAGTCAAGAACAGAAATTGACAGTGATGTACCCTTGGCGGTATATGCCAAGCGCAAGAGACAGTCCG